AGGATGGATGTAGCCCACTCCCAAAAATAGATGAGGAGGTGTCAATTCCAGGAGAGGCATAGCTGCTTTTGTAATGAGCCAGCCACTCCCAGTCCCTAGTCAAGCCCAAATTAATGGTGTTAAATTTGCAAATGAATTTTAGTTCTGCAGTTTCTCTTTGAAGTCTGTTTCTGAAGTTTTTTATTGGGAGTGGACTACATCCACCCTGATCGAATTGGCCCTGTCAACACTGGTTCTCCACTTGTGAGGTAACTCCCTTCTCTTCATGGGTCATTATATAGTGTAAATGTCAACATTCCGTACTTCTACACTAGAATAAAAGCCCTGTGGCACAGTCGTGGCTGGCTCGAGTCAGCTGATTCAGGCTTATGGGGCTCAGGCTGCAGGACTAAAAATTGCTGTGTTAGGGCTTGGGTTGGTGCCCGAATGTCTACACAGCAATTTTTCAGCCCTGGAGCCTGAGCCCGAGTCAGCTGACCTGGGCCAACTGTGGGTTTTTTATCCCAGTGTAGACATATCCACTGTTAACTAATTCACTGCTGATCATTGTAACAGACTTGTCCAGCTAACAATCCCTGTGTAGCTGGATACTACAGAAATCCAAGATGAAAGAGCTATCAAGGTCTGTGGCATAAACCAACAGCCCAAGAACCATCCAAAAGTGTTGAGAAAAGAGCAAATAACTCCTGGATTTAGCCACACTGCAGCTGGGAGGTGTAATTCCGGTAAATCTGCCAGCTCTGATCAAGTGAGTGCGCTAAAAATAGCCTGGGTGGCAGCTCAAGCTAGCTGCACAAGCACAATCATGTCTAAGAGCCTAGGTATGTACTTGGGTGGCGGCTCTGGCTAGCTGCCTGCGCTGCTGCAGCCACATTGCTATTTTTAGCACACTAGCTTGATCAGAGCTAGTGCCTGTATGTCTACCTGAGTTGGGAATCACACCTCCCACCTGCAGAGTAGACCTATTGTATATGCTAGATAGAACGGATCTGGGAGTTTCAACCAAAAGCAGATAGCCAGGGATGCTTTTGGAAGGCTCATTTCTGTAGCTCAGGTCAGCTCTACAATGCAGACTTCTGCCAGCATGGTTATGTCTGTCAGGGGTCACACATCACACTCCTGACCTTGACAGACATAACTATGCTGGCAGGTCAGGAGTGTGAAGAGGTTTGATCCCTGACAGATAAAGCTGTGCAGGCAGAAACCCCTGGTCTAGATGCAGACATGCCAGCAAACCTGTTTTCATTCCTGGGAGGTGGTTTTGCTATATTGGTACGAAGTGTAGCTTTGCCAGTATCTCTGCATCCACACTAGGGCACTTTGCTGGTATAGTATAGCACTAGTCCTATACCAGTAAAGTGCTCCTAATGTAGACATAACCTAACTCTGCAAAACTCAGTGAGGAATCCACTTTCTGCGAGTCTGAAGGCACATTTTGACTCTCAGCAGCTGATGAAATCTATTTAAGTATGTTAATATTAAATTTTGGTGGGAAATAGCACCAGTACCTGTAGTCATAAGGATTTGACATTGATTTTTTTTTTTTAAATTAAAGCTTAAATTCTACAGAAATTGATGTGTTGAGAAACACTTTGGCTGGCTGCAGGAAGGCTGAGACTGTGCATTACAGGGATACAGTTGTGAGTCTCAGTAGTAGATGTAACAGTTCAACTATTCCCGTGTATTTTATAAACGGTAGCGAAGATTGGCAGATACTATGGATTTTGAGATACACTGTAATCAATCCCATGATGATTATTTGGATTTTGCTGTTATCCGGTGACAGCAGAGAAATTACTTCATTGCCCTTTCTTTCACCCCCTCTCAGTTCGAAACTTATTCTCAAGGGATAGATGTTTTTCGAGTTGCTGACGTAGAATTAGTAGATGTCTGGGGGTGTGGATGGCTCAGTCACCACAACTGGCACTGGTTAACATTCCTAATGGCAGCACCAGCAGAGTGGACAAGGACTGAATGGCCATAGAGGAGGTAGATTTCTAGGGGTGATCCCTCCAATTCAGATTAAAGCACAGTGAGAGGGAAATGTAGCATAGCTTGCCAGTGGTCATGCAGCATTTGTTCTGTGGTTAGATGAAGGCCTTGGTCTCCAGGGCTGACAGTCTGGTACCTTTTCACAAGAACAAAATTCATACTAAAACGAAAGATGTTTTCACTCTGTGTGTCTTGTCTCATTCCTTAACTTTCTTCTTTTGTTGATCCTTGCCTAATTTCTATTCCAAAATACATTTGTCCATTTTTCATTTAATTTAAGAATTTTTCTCCTAGCTTTGTTTGTTACAATATTATATTTAAAATACTGCTGCTCTGAGCTAGGACCAGTACAGGTTTTGTGATTGTATGGAACATGAATGTACACTGGCAACCAAGTCACTTTATTTTATGTACAGCTACACTGCCAGGCATGTGGGAGAGAACAATAACTATAGGAAGTGCTGGAAAGACATATAGTGTCACTGGCTGGAAGGTAAGAATAACAAGAGTAAGAGATCTGTTATATAAATAATATGTATTTATCTGACCTGAACCCTGTCTATTTTTGCATTCTATCATTTGAAAGCTTACTGTGTATCCAACTCACAAAAAATTACAGAGAATATTCACTTGGAGATGCTACCTACCTTTAATATGCACTCTCTAACAATGCTCTTATTAATTGTAAAAATAAACGCTTGTGGAAATGAAACAGAAGGGTGAATATTAAAAAATTAAGTACAAAACACTATTTGCTTTGCAGAAAGAGCCAAGACTGCTGAAGGATAAACACAGAGTATTGTTTAAAACCTGTTTCCAGTTTTGTGAAGCGGGTGTAAATGTTGGCATTAAAACATCTAAGGATCTTATGGTTTCCACAGATCAGTCTAGAACACCATTGCTTGTGTGCACAATTATTTTAGCCTACAAAATTGCACCCGTAATACATTGGAAATGCAACAATTCAGGCTAGCTTGAGGTCCCATTATTTGTGACCAATAATATTTTATTTCGCTCTGGTAAAGTAATGACAACGCTTTATACTGATTACTAAAACAAATACAAAAATATTAAAACATCTAGCAGCAGATTTTCAACTTCAGTTGCAACAAGTATGTTAGCAAAAATATCCATAATCTGAGCAGCACCTTTCTCTTCTTACTTATTTATCAGCTGTATCCAGTCTACACCATGGCACACTAGTTTCTGTATGGAATTTGGCCAAGTGTATATTTGGTTGTGTATCACACACAAAACATTTGTTTTTGCCTTTTATGGCTCCTTTATAAAGGTGGCTTGAAACTTTAATTCCGCTACTTCTGTCTACCAATGATTTGGGGGAAGGGGAGGAACAGTTCAAATCATGGCCCCATATAACATCAGTAGTGAAGTCCTCCAAAAAGAGAGCGAAGCAATTAAGTGATACTTCTAACAGTTTAAACAACAACAACAAAAACCCAAACTGGCAGGGTAGGAAAAGAATAAGAAATTTGACGGCATGGTTACACACTACAAAGGGACAGCAAAAGAAAATACCACTTTGTGAGTAAGAGACAGTCACTCGGCTGCCATTTAGGGACTTGTATACCATTGTATAGTTTTTGATATATTTTGGGGCAATTCCATGCATCTAAAACACCTGTGTGACATGAAGAAGGTGCCTAGGAAACAAAAGATGGAAGTGTTTATATAAAAAAAGCCAGAATAACTTTAATTATTACGGTGTAAACACTCAGTTTGTTTTCTGCCCGATGGTATGTGATGCATTAGGTTTGTGCTACACAACAGCAGAGTTCAAGGTAATTTTAATTAGTATATATGAGTCTGATCTCCAGCATTTCTAAACCTGCCATTTAGCAAAACTTGTGCAGTTTCTATGTTGACAAAAGTGCACTGTTGCTTCTTCCCACTGTGAATACCTCGAATTCTTTCAACTTTTAATTCTTTATTATGAGTTCTAATTGCTAACTTGCCTTATGTTTAAGATGTGTCTGTGTTTTCTCCTCTCCCTTAGCTTGGATGGTCCATTGGTCCACAGCATTTGATAAAACATTTGCAAGTTGTTCAGCAGAATACGCTGTATACATGCCCAACTCCATTACAGGTAGATACAGATGGGAGAGGAGAGAGATTCTGTTTGTACTGTGTCTTCCATAAAGGATCTGGGGCCTCTAGGCACTACTGCAATACAATTAATACAAATCAATATGAATTTTGAGATGTCTAAATATTTTTATGTAGTTTCTTGGGGATAAGCGTGCTGGTAGAGAAGGCAAATTTGAGAGTCACTAATGAGGCAATTTAAAAAATTCTTGCAAATTCTCACTGCATTAATCTGCAAAGGTGAGCATTGTTGCACAAAGCCTGGCAGCCTCACTCCTTTCTCCGCAAAAATGTAATTACAAGATGCTGCAGTGACAACTCATATTGCTGTGAATTACTTTTACCAAACAGTCTACAGTTTATTTACTAGTATTCTATCATGTATTAGCATCAATAATTAAAGCTAAACTATACTTCAAATTACACTGTAAACTCTTGAGGCAAGGACTGTGACTTCCTCTGTCTGGAGCAATGCCTAGCAGAATGGGGCCCTGATCCTGATAGGGACTTTTAGGTGTTACAATACTAGAAAGAGTAAATAATAACTTGTCAAAATAAATACACAAGTTACATTTTGTGATGCAGTGGTTTGGGGTATTTGTGGACTCAGTAAGACCCTGGTCCTGCAAAGGGATCTATGTGAGAAGGCCCATACACCATGCAACGTCCCAGCGACCTCTCCCGGTAACTTCAGTAGGACTCTCCATGGGTGCAAAGGTCCACCTGCAAGAAATCTTTGTATGCTGATTATGTTTGCAGGAGGCGTTGGCACAAGCACTTTGGATTGACTTTAAACGCATGGATGACCCAGACTGCTACTTTTACTCGCTGTCTCGAGAGTTGGTAGGCAAGCGTAATCGGATGGCTCAGCTACTCCAAGAAGTTGGATTGAAACCTGTCATTCCAGATGGAGGATACTTCATGATTGCTGATGTTTCTGCACTCAGTTAGTGAAGGTTTATTATGGAGGGAGTGGGAGCATATGCTATAGTTAAGATTAAAGTGCAACTTCCATTTTAACGGACCCCCTTTTCTCAGTTTCTCATAACACTTTCAAGCAAACTCTGTTTTGGGCTAAAATGTTCTGTGTGTGAACTTGGCCCAGAGGTGATTATAATTGTAAGTTTTGGTAAAATCCGTTCATCCATTTTTGAGTGGTGTGATTTCTAATTACTGCCTTTGTATTACTTTTTCATTTAATCAAGTCTGATGGCTATTGCAGGGAAGATGTGTAATTAGGGTTGGGAGAGAAGGTGGTTAACTGGATTTCTATTTTAGGAAGGTATATGATTTGCAAAAGTTTGAGAATTACTGATCTGCGCCTTAAAATCTTGGGCCCACACCCACAGACTTTCCTGTTCAGTTTTTCCCCTTAATCTAAAGTCACTCAAACACTGGAGGCACTGTAAAGTACTTTAGTTCAATCAATATTTAAAAGGACTTTCAAATTTCACCAGAGTTTACCAATCCTTCCGAAAGTTTTGGATATCATAATATCAGAGGAAGAATTTACCCTAGAATTCATTCCTCTGGGGATTTATACATTTAAAACACTACAGAGGCACAACTGCAGCTGTTGCACTTCAGTGTAGGTAGTACACTGATGGGAGGGATTCTGCCAATGCCATAGGTAATGGACCTCCTTGTGTCAAAAGGAAGAATTCTTATGATTATGCTGTCTACGCCAGGGGCTAGGTCATTATAGCTGCATCTCTCAGAGGTGTGGATATTTCCTAGTTCCTAGTGTAGACCTGGCCCCATTCTCATGTCTTCCATTGACTGCCTGTAATAGCACTTTGCACTTATGTTAATTAGGCCTCATAGTACCCCCTTGAAATAGGTAAATATCCCATTTCCCCCCCCCACCAAAGTCATACAAGTCAGTGTCAAAACCAGGATTAGACTCTGAATGGAGTTTTTGTAGTGATTCTAGTATCAACTGTAATAAAGAATACTGAGAGATAAGTGTCCTCCCACTGGAATCTGGGAGGTCCTATAATGTTATGCTCCATTTTACATTCATTTTTATTTTAGATGTGGATCTGTCTGATATGGAGGCGAATCAACATTATGATTATAAATTTGTGAAATGGATGATAAAATCTAAGGTAAGATGTCTCTTATACCCAGTCACTCTGATATAATTAAAAATTAGGAATATTTTTATACCTAAAACAAAAATATACCTGCACCTATAAAAGGATATAGCTCAGATATTTACATTTTAAAGCATGCCTAGAAGTTTTGCTGTGCATATCACACTAACTGTGGGAATCTAGTGGCTAAAATCCTGCTGAACTATAACATCCTACTGAAAATGTAGCTTGTAGTCTTAGCGCAAAACAATAAAGACAAGTCCCAATAATTGGTGTTTTCCACACTTACATGTTTGTAGTAGGCAAGATCCTGCTACCAGTCTTGCCTAGAAAAAGTGGTTGAGTTTGGGTCAGACTTAGCTAGCACATGCCAAACCTAAACTTGATCACTCTTCCTAATCAAGATAAACCCATTGATTTCACTGGTGCAGGATTAGGTACTTATATTTGATATGTGAATTCTGAAAATTAAGTCAATTCAATTCTAATGAAGGAAGGGAAGGCTCCAAAATCTTGGCTGAACAATTTATCAAACCTAAAATTGACTTTATCTGTGTGTAATAGGCAAATCATTATGTTTCATCATTTCAGAAACTGTCAGCAATTCCTCTTACAGCATTCTGTGGCCCAGAGACCAAAAAGCAGTTTGAGAAATATATACGTTTTTGCTTCATCAAAGTAAGTTTGTGTCCTGCTCTAGAAGACCGTTCTGATAGCAGTGTTGCTTATTACTAAAGTGTTTGTGCTAGTTTAATCTAAAGGAGTTGTTTTGTGTTGTTTTTTGCTGTTAAGCAGTTAGTTATTTGGTTGTTTTTATATTGACATTTTTAATAGCATTACTGAAAAGTTAGTTTTATTAAGAATGCAACAATAAACACATAGAAGAAAAAAAATACAAAATACAGGCCCATGCTGATTTGAAGCAGGAACAGAAATGGTGAGTGGTGAGGTTGCAGAAACACAAAGCAACCTGACTGCCTCTTTTCCCTGCCCAGTATGCACAGAGATAATTTCTAAGAAAATTCTAGGCAAATCAAGTTATAGACTACATATGCAACTCACAGGGCTATAGCCAAGTCACAAAACTGTCCAGAATATGGAATACCCATGCTTGGAGTGGGGGGGAATTCATAGCACAGCTTCATTACATGGGTATTTAAAAACAAAAAACCCACCTTTACACACAGGGTAGGTTAACTATGCTAGCATGACTTCAAATGTAGCCTGGACAAGCCCACTACTGTAAATGCAGTAGATAGCAACGCAAATGTAATGGGAGTGATTTCTACAGACGTTTGATAGTATTGACACTAAGGAAAGCAAAGGAGTTGTTTGGAAATTATATTTTTAATGTACAAAATGTTATAATAATTACAAGAAATCTTAACTTTGAATTCCTTTCTTGGTGTACCCTCTAGATATATAGTTACAAAGTTTAGTGGCAAATTATTGAATCCTTTGGATATTTACAAGATACAATTGTAACTTTGTCAAAAAATACTAGTTTGTAGTGCTGTAAAAATGGCTGATACTTTATTTTGTAGAGCTCTGTACCTACAATAATTGTGGCATTCTATACTTGCAGCAAGACAGCACACTGGATGCAGCTGAGGTGATCCTGAAGAACTGGAATAAACCTACATCTTGATTTTTATATTTGTATTAGTTATTCCATCTGGTATAATCATTTTATACATAGGTATTTCATTATACCATTAAAAGCTAATGTACTCTAAATACAGTACATGATTCATATGGAATTGCAAATAACTCTCTGGGAGGCTACATGCTGAGTAGCTAAAATAACAATTTATCCATTGCAAATAATGTGATCCAAGGAATTATTTTCAGTCTTTCCAAAGTATTGGCTATTTCACAAAATAATCACGGGAATCCACGTTTTGGGGGTGGGAGATTTACTAGGGCACTGAAAAAATAAATACATCATATAACTGTGTTAGGGCTTAGGAGGAAGAAGTCAGAATTAGAAGAATAAGAGCTGTTCTGATGTAATGGTATAGGAGCCAGTTGGAAATAGCAGGATTTGAAGATGGAACGTTGTGTTTCACATATCATCATAGCGTGATGTGAAGGGAAATTGAGAAATGCTTCGAAATGGTGCATGTTAGCTAGCTCCAGGGACTTAGTACCTAACAGCTTATGAACACACACAACAAAATTGATTTAGTTAAACCAATGCAATTTTTGGTGAGTAGACAATTCTAAATGTGTTAAATCATTACTGTTTTAATTTCCCACAATTACTTTAAATACTTTCAAAAATAGTAATTTGAATCTTCAAAGTTCTAAAATAGCAGGTGGTGTAAGAGTTTAAAAGTTTAGTTTGATTTATATATGCACACATAAAAATAAGAGACCTTGCTCTAGATGCTCCTTGACAATCCTTAAATATACAACTCTGGAATAGATCACTCCTGTAATTCCTTTTCAACTCTTAATCAGCCTATCCCCAACCACCACCAGTAACTCCACAGCAAAACACATATTTAGAAACCTTAACTAAGATCTCTGGAAAACAGGAATGGGCCTTGCATTGTGCTATGAAGGTTAATAAACTTAGGTTATTTCAAGCTAAGGGGATGAGGGGAGTGAGTCCTAAAGAAGAGGCTGTTATGGAAAGTGCTCTACCAGCTGCCTCATCTTTGAATACCCTTGAGGCTTTGTGTGGTTTTACCAACCTCAAACTGGTTCCCAATTGAATCGAAGTAATCCAGAGCAGACTGCTTCTAGAGGATGATTCCTTGCTCTTTTTTTCCCCATGACGTTCATCATTGTGGTCTTGCACTGCAGAGTTGGAACAAACTCAGAAAACAGTTCTAGAAATATTCCCTTCCATGTTCTGGAATCTGGAGTCAGTGCGGGTTTTCTGAAGTCTTGAGAACAATTTAGGATCTGTCTACTCTGCAATCAGAGGTATGATTGCAGCATGAGGCATATCCATGCGAGCTTTAATCTGGCTAGCACAGTTAAAAATAGAAGTGTAGAAACAGCACTGACTTCAGCACAGGTTAGCAACAGGAGTACAGGGTTCCTGGCAGATTTGTATAGCCTGTGCGGAAGCCTGTGTCACCACATCTTCACTGCTATTTTTATGTCAGTCCATGATGCAATTACTCCGACTGCCATGTAAGCATATCCTAAATCCAACCAATCAGTGGTCGGGTTTAGTCCAACAGTGCCTTTATCCACAAGTAAACTGTACAGCCATGGAGTGGGCTGGTAGCAACAATCTGGCTTCTCTCTCCGTTCCTGATCTTGGTCCTGGTCTTTCAGCCAGAACATCCTCCATTGTCTTTTTAGTTACTTTGTACTGCCATCTCAAAAAACAAACAAACAAACAACCCTCCACCAGAAACCCCTTATAATAGTGGAGATTGAGTAGAGTTAGATCAGGTCTCCATGCTGAAAAAATAATTTGGCAATGAAATTGGCTCCAGATGAGTTATGGAATACATCCCCGGGAAATTCTGAGATTCCAGGGGCGTTATGGCAGTTTGACCTCTCCTTCCAAAAATCCCATAATCTCAGAGGTAACCCACACTACCTTCTGAAATCTCCCAGTGTGAACTGTACCTGGGAGCTGTGTCAGGAACTGTGGGATATCTACTTAGAGCAGTGGTTCTCAACCTTTCCAAACTACTGTACCCCTTTCAGGAGTTGGAAGCCTGAGATCTGCTGCTCAGGGCTGAAGCATATAACTTAGCTTCACAGGGGCCCCTGTCGCATGGGACCCCGAGTAATTGCCCTGCTTGCCACCACCTAATGCTGGCCCTGCACGTGACCTAGAGGGCATTACAGCAGAATCTGTTGAGCAGAGTCCTAGTTTGGGTGCAGGACAAAACTGTTAATGTTGTTAACATGCTTCAGCTTGTAACATGCTTGTACCTCAGTTGGTGCAAAACAATTGGCTCAATTACAAACGGTCTACACTAGAGAATATGGAATTAAGCACATAGGAAAAGGCAGGTGGAGTAGAGAAAGGGGAAACAATACTGAGGCTTAGAGCTGCCATTTTTTCAAGCTTTGTCAAGTCTCTTAAAATTTAACAAATCTGCTAATATAAATATAACAAATATATAATTTCTGTATTTCTGTGAGAAACTGGGTTCCTAGGGTATAGTATGAGTTAAATTTTACTAATCCCTTAGACTGATGATACAAAATAATACAACAGTGGAATTTTGGCTTCTGACCTTAGAAACAAGAGTTTTAGTACCTTACACAATTCAATAGTTTATAATTGCCTATCAAAATGTAATAGTAAATAACCATAGTGCCATATCTGTATTTGAAGATAGAAGATTTGCAGCATAACAAATGTAATAGTGATTAGAAATGCCAATTATTTCTACAGCTTATGTTGAGATGTCCCCAAGATAGCTGTTTTTATGTCCGCAGATGAGCTTTCTGAGTAATTGGGATGAATGAGTGATTAGACATAGCCTCACAACAGCAATAAAACATGGCACAGATTACTCCATGTGAATCTCAGTGCTTGTGAAAGGGCAACTTCTCCAGGGCAGAGTCTATTAAGGTAACGCCACATAGTTCAGGGCGGATCTGTGTTACCCAGGGTTCTCTCAACCCAAAGCTTGGGGGTAACAACTCTTTGCAACGCAAGTCAGGAACAAATCAAAGGGGGACATAGTGCATCCATCTGATTAAAGCGTGGCACAAACGCAAAATGCTTTCATCCAAACTTACTATTCCATTAGATTTCAAGCACCCACATCTGCAAAAGGGTTGGAGCACCCGCAAGGAATAGTGACCCACAGTCTGCGGGGGTCTTGAGTGGTCGAACGACAGGGTGCAAATGATCAGCGATCTGCCTGGTGCTGGGGATTGCAAGAGCGGTCCAGAAGGTCAGACCCCAATCCTCCAGCCCGCTCTACTCCTTTTATGTTAGTACCGGCTACAATTACTGCACCAACATGTCAATCAAATAAAAACCATGAGGCAGCCACTTAAGCCGTTAGTCCCGCAGCTGTATTTCCACACGACAGTCCAACAACAGCCTCCAGAGGCGGGACAAAGTGAGCGTCAGACCCAGAGCCGGGCTGAGGGAGAGCGCGTGACGCCAGCCGGCGCCCCGCCCCGCCCTGCCCCTAGTCATTGCCCCACAGGCGGGCACCGCCTCCAGGGGCTCAAGTTGAAGCAGCTGAATGCGAACTCTTTCGTTTTGTCCCTTCGCGCGGCCCGTACTGACGACCTGGCAGAGCCCCGCCCCCCGTGGCGGAGGATATATAAGGGAGTGCGCTGCGTACTGTTGACCCGGCCCTGTTCAGAGACAGCACTACCTGGGACGAGGCAGGAAGGAAGGAAGGAACATGGCGTCTACCAGCCGGTGAGTGGAGCGAGCGGTGGTTGTGGTCGTAGTAGTAGTAGTGGTGGTGGGTGGTAATAGAGTGTCTGACGGGAGCCCGGGAGCGGGCGTGTGCGGCGATTCCGGACTATCTGCCGGGGAGAGAAAATGGCCGCGTCTTCCCCCACGTTCAGCTCCTGGGACAGCAACGCTGATGGGTCCCCCGCCCCCACCTGCTTGGTTCCTGCTCGTCAGTCCCGCTCCCTTTCCCCGCCTCGGACCCCTTCGCTTCTTCCCCGGCCCCCTTTCCCCCTCCCTGTCCCTGCGGGGGGAAGAGAGGCCCGGCCTCGGCCTCCGCCAACCACCCCCTTCCTTCCTTGTGCGGCGGGGGGCGCTTTGATTTTCCTCTCGCTTTGGTGCCCCATCTCCGTTCCCTGTCCCATTCCTGGCGGTCCTTCCATTTCTAGTTTCTGCTTCTCTTTCTCTTCTCCCCCCCATTCCCCCCTCTTTCCCTGACTACTTGTGGCAGCGATGAGCGTTTGTCTAGAAAGGCTCATGCTCTGGTCTCCGGTCACCTGTGAGTGATTTGCAGCTTGGCCAGGGTGACTGGTTCTGCCTGAACTCTAGTTTCAAACGTTTTTATAAAGCCTGGAGTCCGTAAGTAATCGGGTGACATGTAGGCTAGTGACGGGATCTGCTGCTGCTGCTAACATCTCCTAAATATTGAAATAGGAAGTCTGCGATCTCCAGCACGGGGTTCTCAAGCTTCATTGCACCGTGGCCACCTTCTGACAACAAAAATTACTATATGACCACAGGAGTGGGTACTGACTGAGCCTGCTGTGTCCTGCAACCCTAGGTGGGAGGGCCAAATCCTGAACCCTGCTGGGGGCAAAAATCAAAGCCCAATCTGCCCCTCCCCCTTCAAGTTTTCAGAGGAGAGGAAGGTGTATGTGAGGGTCTCTGCTTGGCATAGTGGTGTTGGCACTGACCTGCAGGTTGGGTAGCCTGCAAAGGTGAGTCAAGGGTGGAGGTGGTGCTCCCTTCCTGAGCCCTGCTGCTCTGCCCTCCCCCACCCCCACCTGTTCCTCTGGGTGCACCTACCCCATTTTGAAAACCTCTGCTTTATAGTGCTTTTAAAAAGTTTAACTTACATCCTTGATGGTTTGAATAAAGATGCATTCTGGTCCGAAACCAAGGCCTACTAGAAACTGGATAGTCTGTTACCCCTTTGTTGCTGTATAAAACTCTTTACACATCTTGTATTTTAATGTAAATGGAAGAGTTGCCACAGTATGTCTGGATGCTTATTCTGTTTCTTCTAATTTTTCCCAGTAAAAAGCCCCTTTCAGACTTTTCAGGGCTTACTATAGAAAGATGTTTACAACCCCCTTCAGTTTCCTTTCTTGTTTTT